CCCCGCCCCCGAGTGTCTCATCAACCAGATTCTCCCATTGAGCATCTTCATGGGCTGGGTGTCATCAATCACATTCTCCAATTCAATATATTTGCGGGAAAAAGCCCTGGTATTTTCGTTGCAATCTTTTAAAGATAAGAGTTGGAATGTACTTCCGTTTTCAAACTGCTGCACGGTTCTTCCAGATTTCCTTCCCCCCCGCTGCCTTTTTAATGGTAACTATTAAAACAGGCATAGGAATGTTTTATGAGTTGACACCAGCAGTTCTACTGGCTGAAGGTTTACTCAGTCATCCATCCTTCCAAGGTCAGGAAAATGAGGACCCAGATTGTTGGGGATGGGGAGCACAGGCTGACTCCAGTGGTGGGATTCAAAATTTTATACTACTGGTTCTGTGGGCGTGGCTTGATGGGCGTGGCAGGGGACAGATACTTTAAAATCCCCATTCCTTCCCCACTCTGGGGAAAGGTTATTGCAAAATCCCCATTCCCTCCTCACCCCACTAACCTGCTTTCCAGCTCCCTTCTCCTGTGCAGGGCAATCAAAGGAGACCCAGCCAATCAGCTGGGACCCAATGGGAGGCAGACAATAGATGGGGGCAGGACCAGTCAGATTTTAGTTTTATGGGTTGGTTGGTTAATGAATGATGCATATTAGAATAAAATATATACTGATTTTTCTCTGGCTTCAATCCTCTCCATGTCTCTTGTATCGATAGTTCTTCTGTCATTTTTTAAAAAAAGTTCTGGGTAAAGTCCTTCTTGTTTTTTTAAATTTAAGTTGCTGCTTCTGTAGTCCAGTTTTGTGTCAACTATTGCATTGAAATCTCCTATAAGACAAATATTTTCATATTCTGTTTCAAGGATCTTCATGTGGAGCTTTGTTTAAAAATAAAATTCTTCTTGTCCATTATTTGGTGCATATATGACAACCAAAAGTACCTGTTTTCAATTTAAAGTCACTTCCGCCATCAGAATTCTCCCTTCTTCATCTTTAAAGATTTGTTTAACATTTATTGTTTCTTTAACATATAATGGAATATAAACCATAGCTCATTAAGGGAAAGATGTCAGCCCTCTGAGGTAAACCTCATAACATATATTTGTTTGGTAGAATTTGATTGATCTAAGTTACTCGGAAGACGATAAGAAGGCAAACGAAGACGCAAAACTGAAGATGTTATTCTATGAGCAAGATGACGCAAAACATATGGAATATCAACTACGAGAAGAGAATGCGAAGTGCGTAAGAATGAAATAAATTTCATAAGAAACGTATCTGAGAAAAATGTATGAGTGTTCTGACCCAAACCCTGTTCCAATAAGACAAGCAATAACTAAAGAGAACAGAAACCTTTTAATGAGTCTTACTTACTTACTTGTTAAAAAGCTTCTGCAAACTAATTAACTTTGATAAGCACAAACCTTGCCAAAACTGTGCAAGACTGCCAAGAATCACAGATAAGAAATATTTCACAACACAAGAGTCTTCAAATTCCAACTGTAATGTCCACGAAGCTGAGTTTCAAAACGTCTTTGCTTCCTGCAAAAAAAAGTTTGCTTCACAGCTGGCTTTTATCTTCTTGAAGGAAGGGCCATTACCTGCAGCCTTACTCCTGAGTCGCCCGTGCTGCTGCAGCTGCTCTCTCCTGCGAGCAGCCCTGTGCGCATATGCAGGAAGCAAAGTAGTTCGATCGGTTCCAAGTCATCCTTGAAGCTCTTTGTACTTCGGTTGTTGTTTTTTTTGTACTTCGGTTGGTTTCTTTTCTAGTTCATTTGATATTTCTGTTTCTGGCAGCACTTCACAGAACTGAAAGGTGGGTGCTTATCTTGGGGGACTGTTTGAGATTAATTCCTGCTGGGAATGAAAACAATTCTGAGCATTGCAATGAAATAAGTCTTGTTTTTAAAATAATTGTGTGCGTAATTACGGTTTAGGAAGCCTGGGTCAGAACAATAAGTTATTTTTTTCAGTGCTGTTGTAACTTCAGTCGGTCACTAAATGAACTGTTGTAAGTCGAAGATTAGCCGTATTGTTTTCCTCCACCTTTTGTACAATATTGTTAATTGCCCCAATTAAATCATGAGCCTCAAGCCAAGCTTCAAAAACTTCAAAGGATTTATTAGGAGTGAACATGCCAGCATGACCTCTGTGAAGCTGATTCTGAGACACGTCATTCACTGTCACCCTTGACCTAGGATTTTCCTCCCACCCCTCTGGGTGTATCATAATTCATATTCTCCAGAAATGTTTTATGAGTAGACAAATATATTTTCTGCTCTTCAGCGCTGTGAATAAGGAAGAATATCTTGAAGGTCTGAATTGGAGACAGAAGGAGCAAATTCCCACCCCAGGAGACAGATTGTCCAAGAACATGTCTTTGCCATTATGTCCAGGTCGGTGGTGGCTCGATGCCTTTTGCTTTTGAAAAACTTGAAAATATCAAAAGTTTTGGCTTTTTTAACTACTTACCTTGTTTTCTCCTCACTGGTGTTGTATCTACCTGGTGAGAACAAATGCATGAACTCTTGCATCAAGTGGAACTTACTTGTAGTTAAAATGCAGACTAACATGGAAATGTCAACAGTAAATTAAGTACAGTGTATGAAACGTGCTAGCAAGTTTTTTGAATTCATTTCCTCTTTTGGGTTCTGCCTTTTGTCCTGCCCCCAGTTCTTTCCTATCCTCTTCTTGTTTCTCTTTCTTTCTTTCTTCCTTTCTCTCTCTCTCCCTCTCTTTCCTTCTGTCTCTCTCCTCCATCCTTCTTTCCCTCCCATCCTCTTGTTCCTCTTTCTTTCTTTCTCTCTCCCCCTCTCTGTCTGTTTCTCCCATCTTTCTTCTTTCCCTCCCATTCTCTTGTTGTTCCTCTTTCTTTCTTTCTTTCTTTCTTTCTTTCTTTCTTTCTTTCTTCCTTTCTCTCTCTCTCTCCCTCTTTCTGTCTCTCTCTCCCATCCTTCGTTCCCTCCCATCCTTTTGTTCTCTTCCTTTCTCTTCCTCACTTTCTTTCTGTCTCTGTCTCTCCCATCCTTCTCCTTCTTTCCCTCCCATCCTCTTGTTCTTCCTCCACCTTCCTTCCTCTTTCTTTCTTTCTTTCTTTCCTCCCTCCTTCCTTCCGTTCTCTCTCTCTCTCCCATTCTTCTCCATCTTTCTTTCCCATCCTCCTGCTCCTCCTCTTTCTTTCCCTTTCCTCCTCCCCCTCCTCCTCCTGCATACCTATGTAGAGTTCAGACTTGCTTTCTTTATGAAGTGCTCTGTGCATCTCATTCCCTAACTTAAAATCCTCCACTTCAGATGTGCTGTGGAACCAGCCACGACCAGCAAGCCCTTGCATTTCAGACACCAGACAAAAAGATTCACAGCCAGCATATAATTTAGGCCAGCCGGTCAGTTCCCCAAAAGAAGTTAAGAGGTAAGTGCATTTTGAGCATTTCAGTTCGATTCTGGGCAGCTTATAAACATTTAATTTTATAGCAGAAGTGACATCAGGCAGATAGTCAGTATAAAGGGCACATCCTGGATTCCAGTTCCCAGATGTAACCACATCAGAAACTGGATGAGAGATTGCAGAGTTGAATACTGCCAACTTGTTTTGTTTACTTACTGATTTATTTTTTTAAAATAATTTAGGTAGATAGATTAAACATCAGAGAAGTCTGGTCAACTGTAACCCTAAATTTAACCCCAGCGTTGCTTAAATGAAACTGATTTTCTAATTTCATTTTCCATCTGATTTAAGACCAGATTCTAGAATAGGATCTGACTGTGTGTTGGAAAAAGACAACTCCTGGTGGTCCTTCTGGACCTTTCTGTAGACCTTTTGACACCAACAACTATGGTATACCCTTCTGGATGGGCTGTCAGAGTTGTAATCGGGGTGCGATTCAACCAGTGTAACAACTGGTTTGCGTGCAGAGCGTTTGCTACTGACCTTCTCCAGCAATCCCTGTGTGTTAAACAGCTGACGCGCGTTCTTGTTGAAAAGCAGGATATAAAGCACAGCCTAGAGCCCAGGCGGACGGATGGGCCCAACAGCTGATCGTTGGAGCAAACCAAACTAGTTCGCTCCCAGCTGATCCTTGGAGCTACCAGTTCTAATGAATCGTGATGAACCGGTAGAATCCCACCCCTGATTGAGATGTGGTACCACTCCTACCTGGACACTTGGAAGTGCTGGGGAATTAATCTTCTGCTTCATAGTGATTGAATTGTAGAGCATTTGGATGCTCCTTTTGATCCCCACAAACATCTACATGAAACTGCTGGGAGAGCTCATCAGGAGATGTGGGCTTAGGTATCCTCAATATCCAGGTGCCACCCAAACTCCACCTCTTTTTGTCCCCTCCAAAACAGTTGGGCAGGTTACTGGATTGGACGAGAGCCAATCACCTGAGGTTCAATCCAGACAAGAGGGATACAAACTCAGGGGTGGGATTCACCGGTTCAGGCCAGTTCGGGAGAACCGGTAGCTCCGAGGATCAGCTGGGAGCCAACTGGTTTGGTTTCCTCCGATGATCAGCTGTTGGGCCCACTTGCCCGCCCGTGCTCTAGGCTGTGCTTTATATCCTGTTTTTCAAGCCGCACGTCAGCCGTTTAACACACAGGGATTGCTGGAGAAGGTCAGTAGCAAATGCTCCCCAAAATGGTTGTTACACTGGTTGAATTGCACCCTGTACAAACTCCACAACCTTTCACATTCTTGAGTTTCTATGCTACCAGGAAAAGAACCAATTTGGAGGGGAGATAAACCGAATGTAAGAAGCTAGGTTTATCCCTTTAGGTAGTGACAGTGAGAAATGTATATTATTATTATTATTATTATTATTATTATTATTATTATTATTATTATTATTATTATTATTA